GGGAGGAAGGAAGGAAGGAAGGAAGGAAGGAAGGAAAAGAAAGGAAGGAAGGAAGGAAGGAAGGAAGGAAGGAAGGAAGGAAGGAAGGAAGGAAGGAAGGATATGGTGCTCCCTCTATAAGGAAGCGGACGGGGCAAAGCATTTGACCTTGAGATCTGTTATCTGTGAACTCACGATGGGTTTTCCTGGGGGCTCTTTGAATTAGAAGGCAGAGCTGTCCCCTGGCTGCTGGTTATTGTGGGCAGCCTCCCATAGTGGAGTCCAGCCTCACCCTCAGAGGGAGATGTTTCCCAGTTGCCCTGTGGCGACATGCACTCCGCACACAGGCTCAGCCTCTGGACCGTCCTCTTCCAGGAGGGCTCAGCTGGCGCATATGCTTGCTCCTTTGGGGCCGCAGACAAGACCTTTTTTCATTTTCCTGGCCCTTTCCAAACTTGCTGTGAGTCCAGTTTTGTTCTCTGGTCTTAACGGCCTCCTGGTTCACATTATGCTCCTACGTATCATCCGTCCGTCCATCCATCCTTCTAGGGTGGTTGATTTCTAGCCTTGGGTCTCCCTGGTGTTCTTGGACTGCAACTCCCAGAAATCCCAACCTTCAGAGCAGGTGGTGAAGGATTCTGGGACTTGTAGTCCACAGACACCGGGGTTGCCGAAGGTTGGGAATCACTGCCCCCTAGTGTACTAACTGTTGTCACTGTCTGTCCCCTTGGCTTTACTCACATGCTTCTCCAAAGCACGCAGGTGTAGTTCATCGGAATCACAGAGTTTGCCACAGTGCACCTGGGGGGAGGGCAAGAAGACAAGATCAAAGCCACCTGTTACAACAGGGAGCACATGAGAACCCTGGGAATTACTAAGAAGACATGTCCACAAGGACCCTCCTATCCGCAGGATCCGTATCCGCAGATTCACCTAACAACAGTCTGAAAATAATAAAAATATTAAATAAAAAACCTAGAAATATCTGTTTCTTAAGGCGAAGTGACCAGAACTGGCCACTAGAGAGAGTCTGAGACCAGCCTATGTACAGCATTCACTGTCATCTGAGTTTTCCAACATCGGGGGGTGGGGCTTGGAAATGATCCCTGGTGGCTATGGGGATTGTACTGTATGAAATGATTCCAAAGAAGGGACAATGTAGGGCAGATCCTTCCTCTTGAGGAACATCACCAGGCAGGATGAGAAAACCTCATCATGTGTAACTCCCCTGAATCGAATAAAGGAAGAAAGGTGGGTTCTGAAGAGCGAGACTCAGTGAATTAGCGGGAATTACATAAGTGTTGACAAATCCCGACAATTCAACGGGTCTCCTTGCGTTGACACAAACGGTCGAATTTAACTCAAAGGACAGTGAACATTAAATGACGTTAATCTATGATATGCTGCTTTACTGCATAAAGTAGAGCACATGAAAAGAGGGGTAAATCCTGTCCCGCTCTTCTGCTCCAAGGAGCCAGTGAGCCACCCGTCTTCATAAAATCACAAACGATCAATGCCCACCCCAGCTTTTTAATATAACAGAGTGCCTGCAACTCTTACAGCAAAACACTACTCTTGGACAAGCAAGGGTACCAGATACGGGGCATGGAAACGAGCCGAAGTTGGACGGTCAAGGAGACCCGGCTCGAGCCTTCGGCCGGCTGTGATGGCCGTTCCTAAGGTCACCACCAGCTCTTCGGCAACAGAGGACTTGAAAGGGGGAGGGGCGAACCAAACTCAGTCCGGGTCCCACACCCTCAAGCTAAGCAGACACGAAACTTGATGTTCCCTTCTGGTTAGGACAACGTTGGTTTCTGGGCGGGGAAAACTCTGGGGGGTCGTGTTGTTGTGAAAGCAGGCCTGGCGTCCTGGGAACATTTGATGCTCTGTGCCCATGTTTTCTGGGTCTCTCCCAAAGCCTGATGGGAGCCAGAGGGGATCCTAATCTCCCTTCGGGCTTTCCTAACTGACCCATCATAGAGTAAGTAGCTCTGATCCCTGGAACCCTGGCCTTACGTCAAGCACCCCGACAGCCTCCGACAGCCCTCTCTTGGTTAAGGTACATGCTCAACATCCTGACTCTGCACTGCTTTCGGAATCTCCCAGCGTCTGTGGCCACCTTTCCAAATTCTGCTCATGAATCTAGCATTATATGCAAAAACAAACATGTAGCTAACTTTTGGACCTTGGCAATTTGACAGAACCACAGAGAACCTCAGAAATATTCCGTCTGTCCACCAAGTTGATGCTTGGGCAGATTCTGCTTTTTATCTTTGCATGTGGTTGTTTTGCCACCCTGCTCTCCTTTTCCGTAGCACCACTCAGTCTAGTTGAGTAGGACTTCTACAAGGTGTCCCTAACTTGAGGTCTTTGTACGAGCCCAGGAACATGGTGGGAAACAGCCACAAATTGAAATCCCTGCTGGTAAAGGTTGGAGAAGAAACTGCAAAAGCAGGATTGTAGTTGAATATTAAGGAAATGAATGTAATATCTACAGGAGAATTACATAACTTAATATTGGTGGTGAAGAAACCGAAATAGTTAAAGTTTTTCTATATCTCGGTTCAGTTCTCAATCCAAATGGAGGCTGCAGCTAAGAAGAGGACTGAGGCTTGGAAGGGCAAATGAGGAAAAAGAAAGAATCAGGATGTTTCACTGGAGGCCAAAGCTAAGTTCATCTACGCTATGACATTCCAAAATATTGCACATGAATGTGAAAGCTGGGACAGTGAAGAAAATCTGATAGGAGGCAAAAGGAAAAGAGGAAGACCACAAAGTGAGATGGATGGACTCCACCAAGGAAACCACAGAGTTGAGTCTGGGAGCGTTGATCAGGGTGGCAAATGAAAGGATGTTCTGAAGATCATCCTAAGTTAGAAGCATACTGTATAAGAATCTAAACAGCTGGTCGTTGTATATGCCTCAATCCTGCAACATCACAGTTCTTTCATTTGACATAGTTTAATTCATAGTAACCCCCCCCCCACCCCCAGTTCATAAGTTTGAAGAAGAATGCCATCTGCTTTCAATTTGGTATAATGGTGAGAGCGCTCAATAGGGAGCACTGGGTTCTCCCAGGTTCAAAACACTGCTCAGCCATCACACTCTCGGGGGATCTGGGGCCACTCACTTTCTGCCTGGCCGACCTCCTAGGGCTGTCGTGAGGTTAAACCGGGGAAGAGCTGAACTAAATAGGTCACCTTCAGCCTGTTAGCAGACAGGCAGGAAACAAATGTGAGAGTGTAATGAACTGAATCATCTTTACTTTTTACTCATAATTTTGCCTTAAGGTGTTTGCAATTTACACTTGCAGTTTTCTCTGTGATCAGTAAACATTTCACGCTTTGTTCCCACCTCTAATGTTCTCCTCCAGCTATTCATTTCCTGTGATGTTTCTCATGTAGCCTGTCGGGTCCTTAACATCTGAACAGCATTTGCGCCTTCTCCCTTAGATTTTGCTTTTCCACTTAAAACATAAATTCTTCTACAATTATTTTTCCCCGTGAATTGCTGCAGATCGTTTCGAGTTCCACCTCCCCACTCCACCGGGCCCTGCTTTGTGCTTTGCCTATCTTAAGATGCGTTGCTTTTCCTTTTAAACCATCTGCTGGGCCACTTTCCTTAAGCTGAAACACTGGGAGCCCTTTTTGCAAACTATCAAAATGAGAACATTAAAAGCACAGACGACAGTTTAAAGAAAAGAAGATAAAAACCAACCCTCCTAGGATGGTTGTGAGCTACAGACAGGTGCCAAGTTCTGCTTCTCTGCTTCTCTCCAATCCTTCAGCTTTGTCGAAAAGGGACCCCCGCCATTCATCTCCAATTAATTAGCATTCTTACCCGCCGTGCTGAGACCCACGCGACAGGCAGACAGGTGAGCCAAACTGCGCAGCAGCCAAGAATGCAGAAGCTGGGTTTCCTGGCCTGCAATTCTGAGCAAGGAAACAGGATCTGGCCCTTGAACAGGAGGCAGTCAAGGAGCATCGCTCAGAGGCCAGGGGGTGATAGCACATTTCCCCCCCTCCTCACACTGATAGTTTACTGTGCAAGATCTTTTGCACAGTAAAACCTCAAGGAGCAGTGGATAAACTGCAGTACTGCAGCCAAATCTCTGCTCACAACCTGGGTTCAGTCCCAGGTAGCCGGCTCAAAGTTGACTCAGGCCTCCATCCTTCCAAAAAAAGGTAGTGAACAGGATCGGTGCTTGCCCCCCCCCCCGTCCAGTTCTTGAACAGGAATGGGGTCTCCTTTTCATGGAAATCTTGGTGAAGCAACAGGAAGCGTCATTGGGGAATCTCAGCAAGGAGTAAAACTGCTAAGAATAAAGACATTTGGCAAGACCTCTCCACGGCCCTTCCCACTTAGCATCAGAATTCCTGGCGCCTCCGGCATCCTTTCTTCAGCCTAGCTGACTCTCTTCCCAAGAAGATTAACACGTCCCATCCTCTGAGGACACAGAACTGAACAGCATCATTACAAAACCGACCCTTTCTTTCTGCCTCAGCAGAAAGTGTTTATCAACAGTCCGTGGCCTCTCAGCAGCCCAGAGGACGCCTTGATGGCTTTGGTCCGTGGCTGTGCATCAGGGTGTGTATCCTGGTGTGATTCCGTACAGGGGCAGACAAAGCACAGGAGGAGGCGTTTCTGGGCACGGGACTCAAATTTCTTAAGAAATGCCAGCCATGGCTGGGTTGGTTACTGCCTGGCAAGGTGCAGGGCTTGGAAAAGCGACGTCTTTGGAGGGCAACTCCATGGAACTCTTAAACAGCCGTGCAGGGTGGGGGAGATTCTGGGAAATAATCCCCCAAGGACGAACGTCTCCAGGTTCTGAAAAGACCAGGAGGGTCACCCCTGAATTTGCAGGCGGCTCGAGAAGAGCCTCCAAAGGGAGACCCGCCCCCCCCTTTCGACTCTCATGCGATGCCGCTCGGATGCCAGGGCTTGAAAGGTCTATGCGGAAATGAGGCCCGAAGACATCGAAGGATGTGGAGACGGGATGTTTAAAGTCAAGGCAAAGATGGAGAGAGAGGGCCCGTCCACAGCGGCTCCTGGGGCCTCATTTTCCAGGGCTGGGAAGGAAAAGGCCAGCACCTTTTCATCATCTTAATACCTATCTATCTATTTGGATAAGTCCTGTTGAGATTCTCACCCGCCTGTCACTCATTAATCCACTTAAGCCCTTGACGATGGCGTGTGGCTTCGCTTCACGAGAGCGGCCACGCTCCCTGAGGCCGCCACGGTGACCTTTCCTCGGCAAGGGTGAAATTAGCCACCCGGCCGCCGGGCTTTGTTAACCTTGTCTTTTGACCTTTCCAGGTCTGGGAAGCGGCTTTGCTAAGAGACGCTGGGGAGAAATCTCATTTCAGATTTGGCCTCTGGCTCCTGCCATGCAATTAGCAGCCCAATAAGTATGGTGAGAGATAAGCCGGGCGAGGGACTCGATCCGGTCCCTGACGGCTGGGCCGGAAGATCGCCAAACTCTCAGGCCAGGGGCGAAATGGGGTGACGCCTTGTGCGGTCCATGGGTGGGCAGAGGGCTACCTGGGGGGGGGAGATGTGAGGCTTCCTAAGGACCCCCTCCTGGCCCTCCCCAGTCCTCTGTGGGAACCCTGTGCCCAAGAAGCCCCTAAAGCAGCAGTTCCCAAACTCAGGTGCCCAGATGTTATCAGACTACAACTCCCAGAAGCCTTCACTACCACCTCTGCTGGCCAGGATTTATGGGAGTTGTAGTCCAAGAACATCTGGAGGCCCGAGGTTGGGAAGCCCTGGTCTAGAGTGCATGATCTGTCTTTGAACATAACCCTCACCTCCATTTTAAATCTTATAATGCTGATAATGAGAACCTTTGAACTCCATAGCTGGAAGGCCCACCTCTGGAGGGTCCAGTCCTTGCCAAGAAGGCCCCGTGGGGGAATTGAACTCCCCACCTCTGGCTCTGCCACCGGACGGACCTAAGCCCATTCAAAGACTTTTCTAAAATGGGTTCCTCAGAGGCAGGAAGCAAAGGCAGTGTCGGGAGTTCTGTTTCAACGGCCCATCTAAGGCAAAACGTCTCGGTTAGCTTCTTAGAGGGTAGAGGCGCAAATCCCCGAAGATCCCAGGTAGAGAAATGGCTCACTTCCGGGCAACGTCCTATTCCAGGGCCTGAGCCCATCTTTCGAGGTGAAGAGCTCCTAGGATTGCTCACGTCGACCCTCCAAGATACGAGATGTCGTGAAAATGACCTCTTTCCCCATTAAACATTTTGCATCCCTCCAAAAAGAAAAAGACGCCCCCCTCTGATCTCGTACCACATCTCCCTTCCTAATTGGCTTCCTGGGCACAAGAGCAAAGGACTCTTCTGGCTCCCTGGGGAAAGTTACCTTTTTGGACTGCAGCTCCCAGAACCCCCTCGGCCACACACCCCCGGCCCTACTCCCTGGGGAGGAATTTGGACCACGTAGCTCCCAGAGGTAACTTGCCAGGTAAGCTTTTGCTGTTACCTGACTTTAGACTTTTAAAAAAAAGTGTCTCGGAGGTCTCTCGTGACTTTTTCACTGGCCTGGGGGGGGGGTCTCCTCTTTCTTTCATTTCTCACTTTGAACAGTGGGTCTCAGGCTCCCCTCCTTAAGTGGCTGTTTGGCTTTGATGGGACATCGTCTCCAGATCCTGCGAGGTGCTAGCCACCCCCACCCCCCAATTTGGCACTGGTTAGGCCTCATCTAGAGTACTGGGTCCACTTCTGGACACTGCGCTTCAGGAAGGATGCTGACAAACTGGAGCAAGTTCAGAGGAGGGCGACCAGGAGGGTCCGGGGGCTAGAAAACCAAGCCCTAGGAGGAGAAATGGAGGGCAGGTTTAGCTTTGAGAAAAGAAGACAGGGGAGCGATACGATCCTGCTTTTTTAATACTCAAAAGGCTGTCCTGCAGAGAAGGGGCGGGATCTGTTCTCAGTCATCCCAGAGTGCAGGACATGTAACGATGGATTCAAGCTAAAGGAAGCCAAATGTCAAGTCACCTCGGACTTAGGGTGACCCAGTGAACGATTGACCTCCGAAATGCCAGGTTCTCAGGAGCCCTGCTCAGCTCTCCAGCCTGTGGCTTCCTTGAGGGAGTCAATTCATCTCATATTTTGGTCTTCCTCTTTTCCTCCTGCCTTCCACCTTTCCAAGCGTTATTGTCTAATTTAGAGCATAGTGTAAAGAAGGTTACTTTTTAAAAATTGAAACTGGCCTATTCGATGAACAATTCCAGAATAGGGAAGCAATACAATCCCATGACTTTTGATATTCCAGGGGGCTGCGCAAGACCATCTTCCATGGCTCCCAGTACTTGTGCAGTAGGAGGGCAGATCACATCGGCAGCCTATGGGAGCCCCCACGAGAGGGGAAACCCAGGTCTTTCTTTACGTGGGTTAAAGAAATATAGGGGGAAGAAGATAAGGGGTACAAGACTCGCCCACGGTTGCTCTTTTCTGCCTCACACGCGGCGTGGTCCTCTAAAGAGGAGAGAGGTGGGCAGTGCCCTCCGGGACCACCTGGAACCCGAGGACGCCCAGGTGCCTCACGCAGGTGCGCCCGTCTTCTGCTTCCCGGGCCTCACTTACCAGGATGACACAAACCACCGTCCCCGTATCTTTGTCCACCAAGGGAATGATCAGAACTGCAAAGCAAAGAGAACTCGGTGAGACCAAAAACATTCAGCAAAGGGAGTTGTAGGTTGAGTTCTGTGGGGAGCGTGGGGCGGGAAGAGGGACCCTTCCCTACCAGGGTGGACCGTCTCGCGACCCCCCAGGTCATGGGCTCAACCTGACCTCCAGAGAAGGCCTGGCAAGGGTGGCCGTGAAGACCCGCTCCCCTGGCTTCTAGCAGCCCGCACCCACCTCTGGCTTCCTTATCGTTTCCCTACCCATGGCAGGCCTGCACACCCCACTTTGATGGCAGTGGTTAAAAAGGGCATGAAAAAAAAAAAAACCAGGTGTGAAGACTGGATCCTCATGGGACACAACGGATGATTAGGAGCAGGAGCCAAACCCTGGATGTGCAGCCTCTGAGTCTTAAAATATAATGTACAGTAGGACCTCCTTGTATCTGTGGGGAAATCAGTGCCAAGTTCCCCCAAGAGATGCTGAAAAATATAGTAGATCATAGCCAATGCTATTATAGTAGCAAATGCTATATACGTATAGCATTGTCTCTGGCGCCCTGTCGTGGTCAGTTCTGGTAACTTCATCTTTAGAAATATGTATCTTTGGGATTTTTCTTTTAATATATGCAGACTGTGGATAAGTGAATCAGTGGATAGGGACCCTGAGGATAAGGGGAGGGGGGCCCCTGCTGTATTTATGTGCTTCTGGACAAAGATGTGGGTCTAGACATTTGTGAATAGGTCTACTCCCACGTCTTTGTACATCGGGTTTAGCTTTCAGGGTTTTGAGAGGAGGCAGCGGTGACAGCAATATTCTTCCGGGGGCCAAGCTGAGGTATGGGAAAGGGAGCTGTCCTTTGGCAGGTGAGTGGGCAAAAATTATTTATTTTATTTATTTAACTAATTTATTTATTTATTAGACTTCTACCCCATCCATCTAGACCAAAGGTCTACTCCACATTTGAGAAACAGAGGGCAGGCAGCTGCTTGGCAGAATACTGCTAGGCACTCATAGGGCAGTATAGGGAAGGAAGGAAGGAAGGAAGGAAGGAAGGAAGGAAGGAAGGAAGGAAGGAAGGAAGGAAGGAAGGAAAGAAAAGAGAGAAGGAAGGAAGAAATCCAGCTTGTACTTCTGGGAGTTCTCGGTCCACATACTGCTACAGCCTACCTTGGAATATTCTGAGCATCGCCTTGCTAGTGTGTGAAATGAGTCCAATTGTACGGTAATTATATAATCTCATGTTTTGTGGCAATTTAAAGACTAAAAAATGAAAATCAAAACCAAAGGGTCTTGAAGTACATGAAGGACTACCAAGCTTTTATTTGACATCGCTTTCAGGGGCGGTGACCCGTGTCTGAAGAAGCACCCCTGAAAGATTGCTCCAAAGGAGCCTTGTTGACTTATTATGTTATTCATTTCATTTGTACCACTAGCTCTTCTTTTTTACAAGCAGGCTGCTTATATAGCACCCTATGGTGTTTAAACGACTCTCCAACTCCGGGAGGCACTGGAAGACAGGAGGGCCTGGCGTGCTCTGGTCCTTGAAGACCACGGCAGAGGTCACAAAGAGTCCGACAGGACTAAACAACTAAACGACTAAACAACAAGGTAGTTTGAAGTTTAATTATGCAGTCTGTACTTTAGCCCTCATGCCCAGAAAGCTGGGAAGTCAATTTACTGACCTCGGAAGATTGGAACACCGAGTCAACCTCAGTTGAACCTGAGTCATGAGCAGAGTTTTCACTGCAGTACTGCAGTTTAACTACTGTGCCACAAAGCTCCTTAAGGTACCACAAAGTACTGGTGGTTGCAAAGATGAACGTGGCTTACCCCTGGATATAAGGTAATCTCCAGTGAGAGCACTTCCTGCTCATTCTATTCTGTTCTATTGATAGGCCATCTTGCAGCTCATAACACAGATCATAAAAAGAGGCGCAGTTTAGAAACACAATGAATTGCAATAATAAAACCATGTTAAATAGATCATTGCATGGAAAACAAGCGTGCCGTGTGGCTGCATCTTGCTGAAGGCCAACAGGTGTAGTTTAGTGAAGCCCTTTGAATCCTCGGCTCTGTTTTAGGGGAGTCAAAGCCGTGGCTCTCTAAGAAAAGAATCCTGAGCCCCTGACCAGCGAGAAGCCCCAGCTTTCCACGGGAGGAGCCGTGGTCCCTGTGGTGGTAAGAAGACACCCCAGTGGTGGATCGGGGATGCCTTAGGCCACGGGAGTCCCTTGGGAATTGGAAACAGAACCGTGGGTCCTAACAATGCCACACGGGACGTAGAGTGTTCTCCTTTTGCACCCATCTGTATAGAGGATTTTACCTTGTTTATCCGGGGCTAGCGGTGCGGCTAAGCCGGCCACTGGCTTGCCCTGCAGCTCCGCCGGAGGAAGGCCGTTACACGCCACCCTCTTCTGCTCGAGGACCGCATCTCTGGAAGGAGAAGAGGGACAGAAAGGGAGAGGAGGAGAGTTGAGGGAGGCGAGAGGGTGAGCGCGTAGAAGCTGGATACAGAGCTTCTGGGAACGGCACTCTTCTCTGGACAACTAGCCCCAGAATCCCCAGCCGTGTGTGTATATGTGTGTGTACATACGCATGCAGGGTTGCACGTAGGAGAAAGGACCAAAGGCATTTTGAAAAGGGGAAGAGAAGTTTGCTGGAGGAGCATCCTGTTGGATGGGGTACGTCCTGCACATCCAAACAGCCCATTTTGGAAATTACATCAATTATATAAAGTTAATTTTGGGAAAACAATTCCCAGCATCCTCATTGGCTGTCCAATTCTCAGTGATTTAACCCAAAAAGCTATAAATCCGGAGCTGTGAGGAGAGTGCATCTGTCCGCATTGGGAAATGGGTGAAAATTCCTCCTGTTACTCAATCATCTGTGGCAAGGGCTGCTTTTTAAGTGTTTATTTTCCAAACACACAAACTGTGCTTTCAACCAATTTTGTCACAATAAAACACAGGGTCCTAATAGTGAATATAATAAAAGCAGCATCCGCCCAAGCCTTAATACGGGAAAATTGAGAGACGTGAAAATTGTTTCCATCTGACAGGGACAAAAACATGAAATGAAAGGAAATGAAAGGGAACTGGCATGTAAAAGGCCTGGGCCAATAAAGCCATTTTAACCTGGCACCAAAACAGAACAACGCAGGCTTCCACGGGAAGGTATTCGAAAGGCAGAAAAGCACGGCGATAAGAGTCCTCTCTTTCGTTAGCCAAAATATGTCGCTTCCCAGAAATGGCATGTTGGTCCCAGGGCAGAGGAGAAAGGAGGTATGGATTGCTCCTGTCTATGGAATCGCTAGATCTTAAAGGGGAAGCCAAACCCCTTCTGGATTTTATATGGTTTTAGCTTTTTCCATCTGGAAGATTCCAGATCTCTCTGGATGACAAGTCCCATCCTCTCCACCCAGCAACGATGGCGTCAGAAGGGGCCCTCCAAGGCCCTGAGCCCACGTGTCTCACCTGGCCCGCTCTCCCGAAGCACAGAGAGCTAAAACGCCCTCATCTGGTTAGTGTGAACAAAACCCAAATTCAGGCACTGGAAGGAGAATTAAATAATAAAAAAGGGCAGGACCACTTGTGGCGTGTACCCCAGTGCAAAGCGACTGATTTCACGACGGATGCCTGACCCCAGTCCATGGCCAAGGTGGACCTTTTTTGGCCCAGCACTACAGGACATCTCCTTTTAGCCTTGGGCTAGCTGCGCTGCAAGGACGTGGTGGCGCTGCAGGTTAAACCGCAGAAGCCTCTGTACTGTAAGATCTGTCTGCAGCTATAAGTTTGAATCCATGTGACGGAGTGAGCGCCCGTCGCTTGTCCCAGCTCCTGCCAACCTAGCGGTTCGAAAGCATGCAAATGCAAGTAGATAAATAGGGACCACCTCGGTGGGAAGGTCACAGCGTTCCGTGTCTAGTCGCGCTGGCCATGTGACCACGGAAGATTGGCTTCGGACAAAAACGCTGGCTCTACGGCTTGGAAACGGGGATGAGCACCGCCCCCTAGAGTTGAACATGTCTGGACAAAAAAAGTTGTCAAAGGGAACCTTTACCTTTACCTAGCTGCGCTGCAGTCCCACCAGGAGAAGGAAATGGGGAAACCATCTCCGAGCACTTGCTCCTTAGTAAACTCTCAAAAGGGTGGCCATACATCGGAACCCACTTGATGGCATACAATTGTTATTATTTATTATTATAGGCACTTTAGGCAGTTTGGAAACGTTATTGTTCTTGTTATGATGATGACAACAAGTCCTCCAGCTAGCATGACCACCTGTGGGCTGGTGGACGCTGGGAACGGTAGTCTAAAAAAAAAGAGAGAGACTTTTCCAAGCCCTGCAAGCCACTGGCGTGGGCCGGCTGCCTCCACCCTTGACGTCTTTCCTTCCACCTGAGGCATTCAGGTGAGGAAACTGGGCTCTCAAGCAAGCCGCCCCCTTGGCTGGACATCCTTTTGGAAGACATTCACAAGGGCCGCATCCTGACAGTGGCTTTTCCCTCCTTCCCGCTCCCTGCTTTCCGTGGCAGAACAGCTTGTGGTGTTTTTTTCCCCTGGCTTGTCGGGATTACCGCCAAAGCCTCCTCGACATTTTGAAGGATTTGATACTAAGCCACCCAAGCTGGGGGCCGGCGGGGGGGGGGAGAATCCTCCTCTCCTTGTGAGAGGATGAGATTCCCAGACGTGCCACAACGGAAAGGTCTCCTAGAAGGAGAATTACAGGACGGAAGAGAACGTGCGGTGCCGAAGGCAGGGGAAAGCACCCTGCTAAGTCCAGGTCAGCTGCTCCGTTTGCGAGGAGAGCGAAGTTGTGCTTGGGAATGAAAGCGCCAGTCGAGGAGGGAAAGGTCCGGGCAGCTCTAGTAAACAAGCCAAGCTGCGTGGTAGAAGGCGGAGGAACAAGGCATGAGCAAGAAAGCCCGGAGGAGAAAAGAAAAAGGAGGTGCTCTCTCCTCGGAGGCCTTCTCCCGGGACCCCTCTGGGCTTCTCCATGCAGCGACCTTCTCCTCCATCTTCGGGTGGCTTGTGACCTCAGCAGGAAGGGGTGGGTGCTGCTGCTCCAAATTATGGGAGATTTTCCCCCTCCCCAAATTCAGTTAAGAAGCCTCTTCAACCTCACTGGAACTGGGAGCTCCTCACCTCAAACAGGTGCAGGACATGGGACCAGCAGGCAGACCATCGTACAGGCAACCCTCTGCACTACCCACTCACCAGCACTGCCAGCCCTCCGCCTTTGCATGGATGTTCTCTTTATTGGGTCAGCTGGGATTCATTAAGTTCCCAGAAAGGGGAGAATGGACGGCTCAGCTGAGCTCCCTCGCCAACCTGCCTCTTTCCTAGATCTTGC